AATTTTATATCCTACGTAAAATTTCTGGCAAGAAATCGAAAGATATAGAGAAAAGATGTCAGAAAACATGTCGGTATTTAGAAAAAATCTCTGCGATGTTCAGATTTATCGTAACGATAATAATTCCTTAATTACAGGCGGAATAACCAGACGGTATAATTCCAATTCGAAAGCTGACACGCGGGATCTTATTTACAGTTGACAACTATGCTTTATGTGACAGTTCATATTATTCAAATCATTATTGACTCATGAGCATTTAAATGTAAGCGTTTACAAGATATCACAAAATTGGTTTCGCTCGCACTGTCGAGTAAAACTCGCAATTGATAATTGTAACCATTACCTATTTTGACGTTAACAATAGAATTTGCTTACGTTCGATTTCGTTTGGTATGTGGTGATATGTGGTGGACAGATGGTCCACTTGATGACTCGTCATTACTTGATCCAGTCAGTGAAATTGTTCTCCCTTTTAATTCTTGTGACGTTGTACTTGACTTTTTTCAAAACTGCAACCGGACCATTTACCTTTTTCATGAAATGACACAATGTGTCGTTTTCTCTCTATATTTTCATTACAAACCAAATTTCCAGTTCTTCACAAAGTGATTATTTCGAAGACAATTAATGCACAGCTTTATTCGTTTGACTTCTCACATTCTTTCCTCGGACTTCCAAAAATTGTTTACATTCTTGGCACTACATAGGTAACATCGTCCTGTCTGAACAATTGTGTCATGAACTGTTGTCGAATATTTTTATTACAATCATCGCGTCTCGGTTTATTATCCTTCGGTTTATTATCCTTGTTTTTACTTATTGTTAGTAACTTAAGGATACCCGCTATCTGGCATCGACGCTATAAAAAATCTATTATGACACTTATCGTTACAACTTCTTTTTCTTCAATATGCTCCTTTTATCGTCGATCATATTTAAATATTCTTAATCAAATGAACAACTTTCTCCATGATTCGATAAATGATTTTATAGAATGTAGGACTTGCAAGTATTTCTAGACATAGTCCAAAAAAAATTCTGATGGTATCAGCCACGGACTTCCGCTGCATCTGCGGAATTATTTCAAATAAACATTGAATATACCGTTTGCGAATAGCCGATTCATCTTTGTATCATTTTTTTTAACAATTTCTATGCGATTGTATGGTTTTGATTCGAAATTTTAATCGACTCTATTATTTTTGCCGCTGGACCGTTTCATGATCTGACCAAATATTGATGTTTCTGTACATTCAACAGATCACTATATCGTTTATCTATTAAATTCTTGACTATATCGGAATATCTCTTCCATTCTTTAATGATCCTATCAAATGTTGATAATTTTATGATTGGTAGTTTTATTTATGGCTCTCGTGATGCACTCACACGTACGTCTTCCAGCAATCGAAACTGTTGCCCCAATATTCATGATAAGGTATTATTAGTTTCATTAGATAGTTCTGATAATTTTTTAATTAAAGGAGTTTGCTGCTTTAGTACTCGTAATAACACGTCGGTTCCATGTATCTCGTTGGATCGCTCCAATAATAATTACTGCATCAGTCTAGCTTCTTGCTCCAATACTTGTGCAAGCGGATTATTATCGGATCGATTCTCGCTGTCCAGCGATGATGCGCGAAACATTGGTTGAAGTTTATTAATATATAATAATGATGCTCTCAAAGTGAAGTATCGCTCGTCAAAATCTGTCTTTTCTCTCTCGGTATTCCTATTCTCTCTCTCGGAGATCAGTTGTTGCGAAATTGTTTGGAATTTATATATTGTATGCGTTGTTCAACTTTTCAAGACGCGCTTTAATTTCTTTTCGCTTTATTAATTTCTTCTCTTTCGTAAATCGTCAGCAATACGATTTACGAAATTTTTCATCATTATTAATTTTGCCTCAAGACCTGTTGCTCTCGTAATGGTTTCGCATTTATCTTACTCCTTTAATTATTATCTTGAAAATGACTTATTGTAAGGAATCACAAAAAAAAACCGAAAAGGAGAAGTACAGAGTACTTCTCCTTTTGATACAATAAATTGTGATCGTCGGAAGTCGACTAAAATTGTCATCAATATTCTATAGCCGAGTTGAATATTCCAGATGATTATCATGTCTCACTTATTAAATCAACATATGATGTTAATTGATGTCTTGTCAAGAGTTTAATTGTCGCTTGTATTGTCTCTAGTGATTCTCGCACACACGTCTCGCGGATCCGGCTCGAAAGACTATAGTTATGTAAAATGCGCTTAATGCATAGTGGTCTCAATTTAAAATTATTAATACATAATCACTAGAGCCCGGATTATGTGCCGATTAATATATCAATTTGAATCATCGCGTTCACGATTCTCTTTAACTAGACGTGGAAATGCTTGCCGCGCGACAAAATGCGACGCAGTAATCAATGAACATGTTAGGAGCTGTAAGTTTATTGACTACCGTGTCATATTTTGCGCGATAAGTGTTTCCAGTGTGCAAGAAGCATAAGGGCGCGTTCACACCTTAGCAGGAAAGTAAAAAACAGAAAAGCAACAGCCAATTAGAACTCATGCTAGTAGTCTATTTCAACTTTCTCCACTGCTTACTATAGATAGTGTTATCATAATTTAAAAGCTGAATGTAGAAATCTGATTAAAAAATGTACTATAAATTGTACCAATTTAAAAAAAAAATTTAGTACAATTGTAAAAAGATTAAGAGTCGGCAAGAGAGACTATGGAGGCCTCTAGTTAAAGATGAATTTCTTTATGCTGAAATTACGGCTAAAATATTGAATTATGTTTTAATTACGATATTTGTAATCAGAAAAGCGTCTAATCATACAGAGCAATTTTTTGGGAAAAAGATAAAAAGTAATATTACTTTTTGAAGATATAATATCAACAATAATAAAAACATATATGTGCACCGTAAAAAAGAAGAATACTATTTTGTTCATTAAACTGTTTTTAAGAATGAAGTTGCAAATTTGATTCTTTAATAAAATCCGTAGTTTTGTAAAACATAAGACAAAACGAATTTTATAGCAAAACATTTCTTTTACATTAAAAGAACAGATTGGCTGCTGCAAATTAGATAGGTAAAATATGGCATAGCATTCTTATTTGGCTATAGCAGTCAATTTTTGATTGCATTAGTCGAAATCCTATACTGACATTACAGATAGGCAACACAATCAAAAATTGGCTGCAGCAGCCAATCTTTGTTTTCAGTGTAGACAATATATTATATGTTAGAGTCTGATAGAGTGCAGATATGTAGCTGTATCACAAATGAAGTGTAAATTGGCTTATCACTTCTGTCGATTCTTAAAGTCCGATTGCAACGTACTTTGACTTTAAGCGAGGCTTAAAACTCTTATTTTCTTTCTTTAAAGCTGAAAGAGAGGGAGAGATAGAGAGTTTTAATTCAGATCTGCAGATCTTTTCTAAGCTTTAAGCCATAAGAAATGAACGAATTATAGACCGATATTCATAGTCAGATTTCATATTCAAGAATGTCTTAAGTACAGTCTTAAGAAGTCACGAACCAATCTGAGGGCCATATTAGCATCTTAAAACATTATTTAAGATGATCTTGAAATAAAAACGGACTATGAATACCGGTCTAAGAATAAGAAATTGATAATATAGCATTAATCATGATTTATAAGTAGACATATATATAAAAACTTAATAAAACTTAATAAAACTCGATTTAAAATTGTGATTTTAATGTCATCCGAGTTTGATTATCAATACAGATGATAATTGCAGAGAAAAAGTTGTTCGACAATATATATAAGATATTATATTAATATTAAAAGTATGCGTTTTTATTAATACAATATTTATATAATAAAAAAATCACGAATTTAATAATGCGTTATCGAAATATTTATGTTAATAATCGCAAATTATTATTAATTATCAATAATGTCATCATTCTTTAATCATTCGCGATTCTTCGATGATTCTATTATTAGAAGATGCAAGTAATTTAATGTTTTATGTTCAATGATTATCGATAACTTAGCAATGTTGTATTCTGAAAATGAGGTTGGTTTCTGTTTGAAACCAACAACTTCTTGCGCACTAGTAATTGACAGTTAATTGAGATTATATTATTTTCATATATGTTTTACAATTATTTTATACGAAGGTACTTCGTTATAAAGGCTAATTCATAACTAATTCATAACAAATTCATACTTAATTGATAATTATTTTATACTAAAAGAATGCTTTAATTTTAATATCCCGAATTATGTGATACGAATTATATGATAAGAATCATATGATAAAAATTACATTTTAATATTTTAAACATTACAATTATATTAAATTAACATTATTAATACATATTTACATTATTGTATCAATATCTTTAAAAAAAAAACATCTGCATATTTTTTAATTATAATGTTAAATAAAAATTTTAATGCTTAATATAAGATTAGTGTTGTATTAAATAAAATAAATATTGTACTGAATTTAAAGAAATAAATATCTTTTTATAAATCAATTTATTAATTTAGAAAGGGGATTACGTTCCTAGTTATATATTGAATAAATTTAGTGGATATGACGTTATTTGTATATTAATACATGTACATTTATATATTAGTATTGTTTTTTTTTCATATATTTTAGTATATATTCTCAAATATATTTTATTGCATTTTTTGCAGTAATAGTTGCTATAGCTTTCTTAAGTTAAAAACATAACAATAAGTTATAAGCAAGAGAGAGAGAGAGAGAGAGAGAGAGAGAGAGAGAGAGAGAAACATATACTTAATCACACATGTGTCATAGGTCATAGGATGAAATTAGCCGCAATCTAAGCTAACGTCGGAAGTCAACAACGTTGCCAAGTTTTCCGCGTATATTTCTTTAGATGCTCAAATATAGACATGCTTTCATCAGCTTTTTGCTTGTATACAAGCAAAATAAATTATACGTTGAATAGAGTTAAAATTTTTACAAGGATGTAAAAACAGGTTTCTAACTATTTATATGTTTTTTTATGTAAATCAAAGCATTTTAAAAGTAAATAATTATGTAATATATCGATTATTCAATGCATTTGCCATAAGGCACCATGCACAAAACTTTAACTCTTTCTTTCTTAAAAATGACACGGTCAATTAATTTAAAATTTTGAACATAGTATTTAAATAATATTCTGTGTAATTTTTAGAAAGATCGAAGCATTTTTCAATTGTATCTCGTCCCTCCTTAATAGTATCTCATCGATATCAGTATAAACATATATATAAAAACAAGAAATAATATACCAAAATATTATTGGGAGAAATTATATTTTAAGAAGAAATATATCCAGTACGTTGCGCCGATAGATTTTAAATATTTCAAGTAAATCAATATCTGTTAATAAGAAAACTAATGGCATTGTTAAAAAGATATTGACTGAACTGAAAACTTATGTGTTTC